CATGCTAAACATTTGCATAGCAATATACAAAAATGTTTAAAATTGCTCATAAGCCCCTAAGAATGATGGGCATCCAAGAGCACAGTCTCCTTACCTGTAAAATAACCTAAACAACTAGGGTGAGTAATCAAGTTACTCGTAGTAAGAAGCATATGCGTATACCCTAAAGTTTCAATATCATTGCAAGATTAATATAGATGAATACAAGGGATCATTCCACTTAACATCTATGTTCAAGGCATTCTAAAGTATCATCTTAAGCTAACATAATAATTTTATAACATCATAATATACACATTGTTGCCCAAGTATAGACTCTAGAGGGGGGTGAATAAAGTCTTTGGCAAACAATGGCCAATTTTTCAGTTTTGCAAATTCTACTAAACCCTTCTAACAATTATGCAATAATCAAGATATAAACATAAGCAATTAATAGCATAAATGTAAAGAAGATAAGGGAAGAGAGATTGCAAACATTCACATGGTGATTTTAGCAAGGTTTGGAAACTCCTACTCCTCGACTTAAGACCCCTCTTGAAACTTCCAAATCCACTATAGCACCTCCTTACGGGTGGAGAGCAAACATTTACATGGAGCAACTCTTTGTTTCACCTTACTAAGAGACAACATCTCTTAGTCTTCCTTTGGGTCACACTAACCCTTGCAAATATGAAGCTAGCTTACTTTTTCTTCCTTGGGCCACACCAGCCCTTACAAATTAAAGAACAGATTTTCAGTACAAAGTAATCTCTCACAGATTTGATGTACAAATTTTAGCTCACTCTAGAGTATATATATGAATATAATGAAGCACAATACTCTTCTAATGATTTAGGATGTATGAATACAAGATCAAAAGCTCTTTGGATGCTATATGATGTTTCTCTATGCTAGCAATACTTAATCCCGAAGTTCCCAGCTCTATTTAAAGATTTTTTTATGCAGCTAATTCAAAAATATAGCTATTGTACATGGGGTTTAAGGCAAAATAGCCATTCAGATTCAAACTGGACTTACATCAGTCAACCAAACTGAAAAAAGGTTTATTTCGGTCGTCTGAAATGAGATAAGATCTGTTGAGTGCTTCATTTCGGTCGTCCGAAATGGCAAACCGGTCTACCGGTTGTGCCTCTCGAACTAGCTTAGCTACTGCCTAAATCGGTCGACCGATTCAGATTGCCTCTCCATTTCGGTCGGCCGAAATGGAACTTCAGTTACAAAAAAACTACTTCTTCAGAAAAATGTTCTACGATAACAAATTCTTATTTCCATTCTAAACATTTAAGTAAATGTCTTTACAATATCTATATGTCCATTTACTTTAAGTTTACAATGCAAATAAGAAAGTACCCCTATTTGGAATCAATAAAAAATAATAGAAAATTAAAATCCAACTAAATCAAAATGTAGAAATTCAGTTTTAGTACAAATTTAGATTTCCGACAGTTTTGGTAAAAATGAATCCTTATGTAGACTAATGTAAACTTGGTTATAAATTTTGATAAAATCAGTTTAGGCTAGTTGAAGTATAAAGAGTTATTACCGGGAAAAGTTATTTTGAAATAATCATTATTTCAAAAATTCATTTTTCACACTTAGCCAAAAACACAGTTTTTCATGACGCGCATTCTAGGGTCCTAATGTCCTTTACTAACTCATGGTAATGAAGGCTTCTCAGGCCTTAATAGTTGACCAATATGAATCATATGATTGATGTGCATGGTCTTATTATTTCTAGCACAAGTGATAAGTTCTTTCAAAGCTTAAGCAAGCTTGAAATAACTCAATCTTTAGCAATGACTTCATGTGCAAATATATATGTATGAAGTGCATAGTCTATTGCTAATGGATATAGAAACATATAAATGATGATATGATATGCATGGTCCTACAGAGATAAGTTTCAAATGGATTCATAAATACCTTGGCAATGAATCCTAAACACTCACCAACCTATCTACCTCTTTCTTCATGCTTTGTCCATGATCGTGTAGGCTTTCAGATAGACTTGCTTTCTTCCTTTCTTTGAGTTGTTTTCTTGGTCATTGTAGTCCATGCTATCTTTCGATGGACTTTGCATTTGGTTCTTTGAAACTGCATGTTCCTTTGTCTCCTTTGATTTCCATACATGTGATTTTGAGTAATGGAATACTTGGAATGATCTTTATAGCTTCATTTAGGTCATTCTTTGAATGTGAATAATCTATATAACACTCAATGTAAACATTAGTCCTTAAATACCATTAATGGTTTGTTATCATCAAAACCTCTAGATTGTTTTTGGATGAAATCCTTAAGGTCAATAATCTCCCCCTTTTTGATGATGACAAAATATTGATGTGTTCATAAGTAAGTAGAGTGGCATTTGAAAAATGCTCTCCTTATCAAAGTGTATACATTGAACATAATGTCATAACATGGCATACTTGATATATCATTAGTCATTTTAAACATAAACATACATTTAAAATCATTTTACTCCTCAAGAGATTATTATAAATCTCCCCCTATCAACATGCTTCTATCAAAAGATATGATAACATAATGGTATATAACATGAAACATTTTGTTGACCTTGAATCTAAGGCTTTTGATGATCGTAATTCATTAATGATGTTCTTTGTGTACTAATATCTACCTTGAGCAAATTACAGATTAAAAGCACTCATCAACACAAGTCAGTACACATTAAAGCTCAAAGGAGAAAGCATTGTCAAGACATGACAAAGAAGACTCAAGATTAAAAGAAGTTATCTAGATGTCATCAATGAGGTAGCTAGGATGGTGAGCTGCTTAGGAATCTTTGTTAAAGTTTGTATGAACACTTTGAAGCTCACATTTCTCAAATCATGCATAATCAACTCATTCATAATCCCTAAGGACCAAAAGACCAAGTTTAACACATCATCATAACAAGTTTCCTGAAACATAAACCAATTCGGTCGACCGAATTGGAAGGGCACATTAAATCAGTCGACCGATATAAATAGAGACCTTGGATCAAAACCCCTAAGCTATTTTGGTCTACCGAACCTCAGGACCTTGTTAAATCGGTCGACCGAACCTAGCATATTGAAAGTCTCACTTAAGTTTCAGGCGACCAAATCTAGAAAGGGAAATGAATCAACAGAGCCGATTCTCACAGAAAGTTTAAGAACTAAGGTCCAAGGAATTTCGGTCGACTGAACCAAAGAGGACTCTTTCATCGATCTACCGAACCAAGGCTGATTGCCATCCTTTGCCTAAATCGGTCAACCGATCCTCAAGAGTAATTTATTTCGGTCTACCGAACTTGCGAGAATTCAAATTTCAAAAGGGATTTATTCCTCGAAGTGTGTGTCCAATAGCTAAAATTCATATCAGACAGTTCTGAAAGTCTATATAATGACTGGTAGCCTTCATAAAAGCTTGTTGCATTTATTAAGAAAGATATCCTTGCAATCATTGAACCTTGTTTTTTATTATACACACATCTCATATCATAAAAGAGAGTTGAGCTTCAATTTATTCATACACATTCTAGAGTGAGCTATATCTTGTACTTCAAATCTAAGAGAGATCATATTGTACTTCTTCAATCTTGTTCAAAACTTGTAAGGGCTGGTATGGCCCAAGAAAGACTAAGAGAAGGTGTTTCTCTTAGCACTTAAAAGCAAGGAAGAGCTTCTTGTAAAAGGTTTGCTCTCCACCCACAAGGAGAAGCCATAGTGAATTAGGAAGTCTCAAGAAGGGTCTTGAGCAGAGGAGTAGGAGTTTCCGAACCTTGCTAAAATCGCTGAGTATATGTTTGTAATCTCTATCTCTATCTCTTACATTTATTGCTATATATTTTGCTTGATAAATATTATCCTTTGAAGTTCAAAATTCAGATTATTTTCTTCAATATTTATCAAGGAAGTTAAGCTTTGTTTTAGTTAATTGATTAAACCCAAATTTGACATTAGTTTGCTTAGACTCTATTCACCCCCCCCCCCCCCTCTAGAGTCTATATCTGGGCAACAATTGGTATCAGAGCTAGAACTCTATTAAAAAAAGCTTAAGTGTATTAGAGAACGATCATGGCAAACTTAAATGGTCATCTTCATCAAGAAGGTCAATCTAATACTAGACCTCCTTGGTTCGATGGAACCAATTACGGCTATTGGAAAAACAAAATAATAAACTTTCTTCAATCCAAAGACTATCAAATTTGGCTAGTTATAGTTAATGGACCTTTTGTTCCAATGAAAATTGTTGACACAAGAAGAATCCCTAAAACTAAAGCTAAATGGGACACCGAGGATTATAGACTTATCTCTTTAAATGCTAAAGCCAAAGTCAATCTAAATTGTGCTATAAGTCCGAGTAAATATAATAGAGTCTCTACTTGCACCATAGCTAAAGAAATCTGAGATAAACTTTAGGTTACTTACAAAGGAACTTCACAAGTCAAGGAATCCAAAATTAACATTCTTATGCATCAATATGAATTGTTTCGTATGAATGAAAATGAGTCTATTAGTGCAATGTTTGTGAGATTTACTGACATTATTAATGGGTTGAAACATCTTGGCAGAACTATGACTAACTCTGATCTTGCAAGGTAAATTCTAAGAAGCTTACCCAAAAAATGGGATACAAAAGCAACGGCAATTAAGCAAGCTCACAATCTCAACACACTTGAGTTGGATGAACTTCTCAACTCTCTTCTCACATGGGAGATCACTCTAAAAGATAGAGAAGGAGATCATCATTGGAAGAAAGAAATTGCTCTCATAGTCTCTCAAATAGAAAAGGAAGTTACCGGCAACAAAAGTGAAAATGTTGACTTAGCTTTTATCACTCAATCCTTCAAAAGATTTCTTCATAGGAAGAAATTCAACAAGGGAAGGTCCAAAAAGGGTGAATCATCTAATGAACAGAGCAAATGAGGCACCTCTACCTGTTTTCATTGTGGAAAGCCGGGACACTTCAAAGCTGATTGTCATGTTTACAAAGAGGAAAAGAAAAAGAGAAGAGCAATGCAAGCCACTTGGGAAGGTGACGACTCAAATGGCTTCGAAAGTGATAATGAAAAGGCAATCCTTTGCCTCATGGCAAATAGGGATGAGGATGGTTTCAAAATCTCCACATCTTCCAAGGACAAATGGTTTCTAGATAGCGGATGTTTAAGACACATGACGGGTGACCGCACAAAATTCTCCTCTCTAAAAGCATACAAAGGAGGAAGCATAACATTTGGAAACTACTCTAAAGGCAAGGTAATTGGCATTAGGATCATAGTTATTTCTCCTTCTTTATCACTTGAACATGTCTTACTTGTTGAAGGTTTAAAGCATAATCTATTTAGTGTTAGTCAACTTTGTGATAATAGATTTGATGTAATTTTTAAATCAGATAAATGCATTGTTAAAAAAAATGAATCTCAAATATTTTGTGCTCCTAGACATGGTAATGTATACACCTTGCTCTTAGGTGAACTTCAAGAACAAGATGTTAAGTGTTTCATATCATCCAATGAACATAGTTGGTTATGGCATAGGAGCTTAGGTCATGCTAGCATGGATTTAATCTCAAGATTGTCTAAAAATGAACTTGTCAAAGGTCTCCCCAAGACAAATTTTTCAAAAGACAAATCGTGTAGTGCTTGCCAAATTGGTAAGCAAATTAAATCCTCCTTCAAAAGGAAAAAGGATATAACCACTTCAAAACCACTTGAATTGATTCACATGGATCTTTTTGGACTGGAGAAAATTGCTAGTCTTTGTGGTAAACTCTATGCCTTTGTAATCGTAGATGACTACTCTAAATTCACTTGGGTATTCTTCCTTGCACGCAAAAATGAGGCTCATTCAATTCTTTCAAAATTTTGCAAAAGGGTCGAAAATGAAAAGGAATGTAAAATTAAAACCATTAGAAGTGATAGGGTTAGAGAGTTTGACAATCAAGATATTGAAAGATTTTGCGACGAAAATGGCTACAATCACAATCTTTCGGCACCTAGGACTCCCCAACACAACGGTGTTGTTGAAAGGAAAAATAGATCTCTTCAAGAAATGGCTAGAACCATGTTAAATGAGCACAATTCACCTAGATCTCTATGGGCCGAAGCTGTAAATACTTCATGCTATGTTAAAAATAGAGTTGTTATTAGAAAGATTCTCAATAAAACACCCTATGAGTTATGGAACAAAAGAAAACCTAATATAGGTTATTTCAAAGTTTTTAGGTGTAAATGCTTTGTCCTCAATGACAAGGATAATCTAGGAAAGTTTGATGCTAAATCCGATGAAAGCATTTTTCTTGGATATTCCTCTAGAAGTAAAGCATATAGAGTTTACGATAAGAGGACCTTAGTTGTGGTTGAATCCATACATGTTGTGTTTGATGAATCCCCAACCTCTCCCCCAAAAAGTGTGATGGACAATGATGAAGAAGTTAAACTTGAAAAGGGTACCAATGAACTTAATACAAATAGGTCCCTTATAGAGATTGAGAAAAGTATCAATGACCTCAACATAAATGAGTCTCCTATTGATATCTATCAAAGTTCCAATTCAAATGATGATACCTCTCAAAATATAACTACTTCAAATCAATGGAAGTTAGTTCATAATCATCCCATTGACCGAGTTATTGGTGATCCATCCAAAGGTGTTAGTACACAGTCACAATTAAGAAATTTATGCAATTTTGTGGCATTCGTTTCTCAATTTGAACCTAAAAATATTTATGAGACTGAAAATGATGAATCTTGGCTCTTGGCAATGCAAAAAGAACTCATTCAATTCAAAAGAAATAAGGTTTGGCATCTTGTCCCTAGACCTTAAAATAAAACAGTTATTAGCACAAAATGGGTATTTCGAAACAAAAAGGATGAGTTGGGAACTATTGTTAGGAACAAGGCTAGACTTGTTGCAAAAGGCTATAACCAAGAAGAAGGTATAGATTATGAAGAGACTTTTGCTCCCGTTGTTAGACTTGAGGCTATAAGAATGTTACTTGCATTTGCATCCCATAAAAATTTCAAATTATTTCAAATGGATGTAAAGAGCGCCTTCCTAAATGGTTTTATAGAAGAAAAAGTATATGTAGAACAACCACCGGGCTTTGAAAACTATGATAATCCAAACCATGTTTTTAAATTGACTAAAGCTTTTTATGGTTTGAAACAAGCTCCTAGAGCTTGGTATGAACGACTTAGTGGGTTTCTATTTTCAAATGATTTTAGTAGAGGAAAAATTGATAATACACTTTTTTACCAAAATCATTGATGACAATTTGTTGATCATTCAAATTTACGTAGATGACATTATTTTTGGATCAACAAATGACTCTTTAAGTAAAAAGTTTGCTATCTCCATGCAAAACGAGTTTGAAATGGGCATGATGGGCGAACTCAACTTCTTCTTAGGTTTGCAAATCAAACAAACTCTTGATGGAATTTTTATTTCCCAATTAAAGTACACTAAAGATTTGCTAAAGAAATTTGGCTTGGAAGACGCCAAACATGCTAAAACTCCCATGAGTCCTTCCTTAAAGCTTGATAAGGATGAGAAGGGCAAGGATGTTAATATTAAGAAATAGAGAGGGATGATTGGAAGTCTTCTATATTTAACGGCTAGTAGGTCGGACATTATGTTTAGTGTATGTCTATGTACTAGGTTTCAATCGTATCCCAAAGAATCTCACTTAAATGCTGTCAAGCGTATTTTTAAATATTTAAATGGCACTATCAACTTAGGATTCTAGTACCCTAGGCACTCATCATTTGAACTTGTAGGATTTACGGATGCGGATTTTGCCGGTTGTAAAGTTGATAGAAAAAGTACAAGCGGTGCTTGTCACCTTATAGGACAGTCCCTTATATCTTGGTCATGCAAGAAACAAAATTTAGTCACATTATCCACTGCTGAAGCTGAATATATTGCTGCTGGTAGCTGTTGTGCACAAATCCTATATATCAAACAACAGCTTGAAGACTTTGGGTTGTTCTTCAACAAAATCCCTATCAGATGTGATAATACCAGTGCTATTTGCATATCAAAGAATCCCATTCAGCATTCCAAAACAAAGCATATAGAGATTCGATATCATTTCTTAAGGGATCATGTATCTAAAGGTGATATTGAATTAATGTTCATCAACACCGAGAATCAATTGGCTGACATTCTCACGAAACCACTTCAAGAAGATAGGTTTTGCACACTTCGAAGAGAAATCGGAATGGCTATAGAAAGAGAGATTCATGATCACTAATGTATCCCTCAAAAAAAATAAAAGATATGGTTCTATTCCCAGTTCGGCAGACCGACACTATGATTCGGTCGACCAATTTAAATTTTGGCAAACCGAAACTAAAGCCTCATCTATTTCGGTCGACCGAAATAAGGAAATCATTTTCTCTTCAAAAAGTCATTTCGGTCGACCGATGTAGACATTCGATTGACCAATTCTCCGGGGGCATAGGTACGAACAGGATCAAATCAGATTTAAATGACCCGCGAACTGTTCTTTTCTCACAAAACACTTATCTATCTATCTCTCTCTCACCATCTAAAGGCGATCGCGAACCCTGATATCATTTCTCTTCTCCTCGTATTCAAGGTAAGTCTTACATCTCTCTTCTCGAGTAAATCTCTTTGACATCAGTTCTTTTGAGTTCTTTGAGTTCCTTAATCTTTGTTGCATCATACTAAGTTAGATCTGTTGCACTCATTATCATCTTGCCATCTATCTTACCAAATCTCCAATCTCATAAACGAACTCATGGCTTCCCGAAAGAATCCCTCTAGAACTGATAGGCAACTAGAAAAACGCACTAAGATTTCCCATGACTTAGATGCCGGAAGGTCTAACCCCCCAAACCCTGAGCAATTAGATCCCCATCCCGCTCCCAATATGCGTCTCTTCCGTGAACCTGAGTTTAAGGAAGTCTATGAAACAAGATTTCTCCATAAGGTAGTTGAAAAAGGAAAAATTTTCAATGATCATGAAAATGATGAATTGATTCAACATACCTTCTCACTATTTGATGCTATAGGCTTAGGTGATTTTGTATCGCTCAAAGTCCTTTTCTATCCCAAACTTGTTAGACTATTTTACACCCATCTCAAGAAAGAACTAGGGAACACCGCTTCCAATTCCTTTGTGGTAGGCTCTCACATTCACCTTACCGAGTCCAGTTTGTGACGTATTCTTAAACTTTCTCACGGTGATATTACCTACTTTACATCTTATAATTGGTATCATGGGGAAGAATTTGATCCTCTCCAAGCAGTCCAACAAATGCGTCAATTCCCTACTAAAAACACTGACAAAATTTTTGCAAGTCAGTTAACCGTCCAAGCCCGTCTCATCTATCATGTTATCATCCATACTATTCTTCCAAAATCTAATGGATGTTCAGATGTGTCATATATGGAAGCCTTTCTCATATGGTGTGTCCTAAACAGAAAGCGGTTTGATATCTCCTTTATCATCTTTCACCACATGCAAGATTGCATTAAAAAGGAGAAAATGCACCTCTTCTATGCCATGCCTCTTACTATCATCTTCAGAGCATACAAGGTTCGAATAGAAGGAGAAGACAAAAAGGAACTTACAAATCTCTACAGATTTGACAGAGACTTGCTAACTCAAATGGCTCTAAAAAAATTCGAAGCCAACATTTGGTATGACCCTTAGTTTGGAGTTCATCAAAATGAAGGCCAAGATATGGTCATGGATGAGTAACAAGTGGAAGTTGCTGAAGAGGGTGGTAATGGAGATAGGGAAGAGGAAGTAGAAGCTGAAGAGGAAGAGTTAGAAGCAGCAGAAGAAGAAGAAGATGAAGAACAACACAAAGCCCCTACTGTCCATCCCTTAGAAGAGCAATCTCTACGTGCACTGCTCTTAGAAAGCATTGTTCTCTCTAAAGAGCAAATCGCCCTTGGCAAGGACAACAGGGACCACATTCTTGAAATACGCGAATGACTTGAAGAAGTCACCAATGAAGTCGATCTTGTGAAGCGCGATCTTGCCGACCTCCATGTCACGGGACTTCCTTACTTCTAATGCTCTCACACCCCTCCCCTACTTTTTTTGATGTATGACAAAGGGGGAGAAATTAATGATGTTGATATAGTTGATGTAGGTTGATTGGTTAGACTGATGTTGATGTAGGTCGATGTAGGTCTAAGTTGGTTGTTGGTTGATATAGGTTGATGAAAATGTGTAGGTTGTTAACTATTAAAGTTGTGGTCAAAATGTAGTTCAAATATGAAGTTGAATGTACTTTGAAACTCTTGAAATGGAAATACTTTTTTGGTTACACTGTCTTAATTTTTTATGTAGATTTGTCTTAAAAATATCTTGCTAACAATGTTTAGATGAATGCACATAGAAAGGGGGAGCTTTGTATATCTCTTATGTATTTCCTCGCTTTTAAAAACTGTGCACATTGATAGGGGGATAAATGCACATATTTTGCTTTAAATATTTATTCTCATTTAACGAACACATCAATGAATTGTCATCATCAAAAAGGGGGAGATTATTGACCTTGAATCTAAGGCTTTTGATGATCGTAATTCATTAATGATGTTCTTTGTGTACTAATATCCACCTTGAGCAAATTATAGATTAAAAGCACTCATCAACATAAGTCAGTACACATTAAAGCTTAAAGGAGAAAGCATTGTCAAGACATGACAAAGAAGACTCAAGATTCAAAGAAGTTATCTAGATGTCATCAATGGGGTAGCTAGGATGGTGAGCTGCTTAGAAATCTTTGTTAAAGTTTGTATGAACACTTTGAAGCTCAATTTCTCAAATCATGCATAATCAACTCATTCATAATCCCTAAGGACCAAAGGACCAAGTTTAACACATCATCATAACAAGTTTCCTGAAACATAAACCAATTCGGTCGACCGAATTGGAAGGGCACATTAAATCAGTCGACCGATATAAATAGAAACCTTGGATCAAAACCCCTAAGCTATTTCGGTCTACCAAACCTCAAGACCTTGTTAAATCGGTCGACCGAACCTGGCATATTAAAAGTCTCACTTAAGTTTCAGGCAACCGAATCTAGAAAGGGAAATAAATCAACAAAGCCGATTCTCACAGAGAGTTTAAGAGCTAAGGTCAAAGGAATTTCAGTCGACCGAACCAAAGAGGACTCTTTTATCAGTCTACCGAACCAAGGCTGATTGCCATCCTTTGACTAAATAAGTCGACCGATCCTCAAGAGCAATTTATTTTGGTCTACCGAACTTGCGAGAATTCAAATTTCAAACAGGCTTTATTCATCAAAGTGTGTGTCCAACAACTAGAATTCATATCAGACAGTTCTGAAAGTCTATATAATGACTGGTAGCCTTCATAAAAGCTTATTACATTTATTGAGAAAGATATCCTTGCAATCATTGAACGTTGTTCTTTATTATACACACATCTCATATCATAAAAGAGAGTTGAGCTTCAATTTATTCATACACACTCTAGAGTGAGCTATATCTTATACTTCAAATCTAAGAGAGATCATATTGTACTTCTTCAATCTTGTTCAAAACTTGTAAGGGCTAGTGTGGCCCAAGAAAGACTAAGAGAATGTGTTTCTCTTAGCACCTAGAAGCAAGGAAGAGCTTCTTGTAAAAGGTTTGCTCTTCACCCGCAAGGAGAAGACATACTGAATTGGGAAGTCTCAAGAGGGGTTTTGAGCCGAGGAGTAGGAGTTTCCGAACCTCGCTAAAATCGCTAAGTATATGTTTGCAATCTCTATCTTTATCTCTTACATTTATTGCTATATATTTTGCTTGATAAATATTATCCTTTGAAGTTCAAAATTCAGGTTATTTTCTTCAATATTTATTGAGGAAGTTAAGCTTTGTTTTAGTTGATTGATTAAAACCCAAATTTGACCTTAGTTTGCTTAAACTCTATTCACCCCCCCTCTAGAGTCTATATCTGGGCAACACATTTGATCCAACAACTAGAGATATCTTCCCCCTTGATATGAAATAACATAGCATTTCATACATCACACTTTTCTCCCCCTTTGTCATCTCAAAAAGGTTGGAGGCCTAAATAACTTCATTAAACATTTATCATTTAGCATAGTGAAGCAATGATCATCATGAAATGGCAATGTAGTGCTAATGACTATAATATGCTTTAGAGTACAACATATAAGCAATTATATCATAAGATACCAATTTCATTGATAGCATGAGTTCAATAGATCATAAAGGTTCATGACATATACAAAAGTATACATAAAGTATAAACTAAAGATGAAAAATAATCTCTTTTAGGCAAAAGTATACAAAAGTATACATACTAAAGCGTAACCAAAAAAATAAAAATAAAGCATGGACTAGAATAAACCAAAAGGTAAAAACCTTGTAAGGCAAATCTAGGAATTTAAGTATGCTTCAATTCTAATATATTTTTCCCATTTGATATTTTCAAGAAGGAAGGAAAAATAATCAGAATTATGAAAGCTCATGAGTATGAATATGATGATCAACAAGTCATTTTGTAGTATGCTTGACAATTTTCAAAATAAGTCAATTAAGCATAACAAGTCATGTAATAGACATTCATAAGAGATTATCAATAATCTCCCCCTATGAGTATGCTTTCATTTATATCATATATCATTTAATGGATACACCTCATTAAAAGCAATGATATATAAATTAAGTCTTTTATACCAAAAGATCCTCTTTTACAAGCATAGAGTTGAATGATAAAAATCACATATGGCATGTAAAGCACAAGGCATATGCAAGTAGTGTTACTATTCTAGTTATATGCAATGAATTTCCAATAATGCAAAAGCATATTTTCTTGGACATGTATGATTAGAAATAATTGGCTACATGATTGTACATGTAGATGAGCTCAATATTTCTCTTATACATTTTTCTCAAGAGATAATGCCAAGATATCTCATGAAGCGTATAGAATGAGGCATTGATACCAAAATGTCTTCTTTAATAGATGTAGTGAGATTGCCTACATGACTTTCCATGTGGGTAAGCTTAATATCTCTTTTAGACTCATTCTTTAAGAAGTGATACATGAATTTTTAGAGTGCTCAAGATGGATACATCGAAGTAGAATAGCACTTGATATCACATTAGCCATCTAAGCTAGAACAAAGTATTCTTTAAGAATTATAATCCCAATATTAAAGGGTCAAATAAATATATGAATTTTGATTTTCATGACACTAATGGAGTTTTAAACCTTAGAAGAATTCAAGTTTA